TTGAATTTGAACCAATATGATGGCAAGTATAATTGTTCATTGAAATCTTGGTAGCTTTAAATCCATAGACTTTGAAGATTTACCAAACAACTCCTCCCAAATCTCAGTGAAAGCTTCCACGATAATTGCATGATGGTGTCTTGAATTAAGACTAAGAAAACAAAGCAAAAGTTGTTCTAAATCCTCTGCTTCAAACATCTCTTTCTCCATTATCATTTCCTTCATTGAATTCTTGAAATCGTCGTAAGGATCTACTGATCTTTTCACTATAGCAAAACTCTCATTCACTTTTCCATCAGCCATACATGGCATCATAGAATCTTTTAAACTGTTTGAAAGGTAACGTCTAAGCCTCCTTACTTTCGTGTTATTGTTATTTTTCTTCCTTCTGATCCCGGATAAAGGATCTATCCCATGATCCACATCGAATGATGATTCAAAACTTGGAGAAGACATAAAGCTTTCAGTTTCATCATTAGGTTTCTCATCACAACATTCACTGTTGAAACTGAACCAGCCACTATCAACAGAGGAAAAACTCATATTCAACCTACTTTTTCTACTTTCCCCCCTTCTCATGTTGTTGTTATCAGGATCAGAATATTCAGAACTCGGCGAATTGTATGTTTTACTTGCCAAGTTATGAGCTTTTCTGAGTATGTAAGGGTGATGTGGGGTTGAGGGAGGTACTGGAACAGGGGAATTATCAAGTATATTGGCAGGGGAAAATTTGTATAGTGAAAGTGGCATTGGACTTTTAGGCAAAAAAGAAGCTTTTTTGGGTCGACAAAAGCGAAAAGAAGGCATAGAGAGCTTGAGTTTAAATCTCCTTGTCATATCTAAGTGATGCAAAATGCAATTTTTTTTTTGGTAAAAAATGAGATGAGTGCACAACAACAACGTACTTATATAATTTCACAAGTGAAATCTTGGCAAGATATATACAGTGTACACAGACCTTATCCTTACCTTGACAGACAGAGAGAAACTGTTTTTGATAAACTGTAAACACAAGAAAAAAAAGTTGACAATAACTACAACAAAATAGTAAAAAGAAACGAAAAAAATTAACCCAAAATCAAAATATATTATTGCTATGGACGTTGGTACAATCAATTACAGGCGAAATGTTCGGTACTGATTAGCCATGCCCAAGGAGTTTGGAGTTCAAGGATTTGAGATTGTTTTATATAAGAATTTGAGGGAGAAATGGCCGGCTTTGGTCAGCTAACAGTAGGCTAATTTTTTAATAAAGAATTTCAGTAATATAACTAATATATGTTGTCAGTATAAATAATTTTACATCATATTTCAAGTCTATCTTTATTTGTTTTAGCAAGTAATATATTTTATATTCAAGAATTCAATTCATATTTTAAGAAAATTCAAATAAAAATATCTTTTAGATAACGTAATTGTGTAAATTAAATATTTACTTGGACGACGTAAACCTCCTCATATTAGGAGTTCTGTGACAGACCAAATCTGAGTGAGGTAATGTGAAAGCTACATAGAAATTCCCTCTAGAGGAAATGGTCTCAAAAACATATTTTATGTATAATGTCTTGAGTGTGACATTAAAATTTTTCTCCCCTCTTGTATTTTTCTTTTGTTCTTTGATGATAATTTGGATTAAGTACCATGATATTCCAGGAAAAATTAGGTGGGATGACTAGTTTTTAGATCTTCTATGAATATTTAGTCATTTTAAAAATGTAATCGAGAAATAATTACTTTTTAAGACAAACATAAAACTAGAATAAAAAATTATCTTGCATTAAAAATAGAAAAAGTTCAAATTTTGTAACAAGTGAAATAAAACCATGAACTCAACTACTCAAGGAATCTTTCATTGAGTTCAAGCTCAAGGACAAAATAGGACATTTTTTTTTGAGTTCTAATTATATGTCAGTAACTAGCGTATATTTTTTGTGTTTAAATTAAAAATATTTTATCCAACTTAATATGAAGCTGTCATGTTTTTTTCAAACTGACATTCTTGATTGAACTAAGAAAAAAATCATAACTTCTAACTTCATATTACTCTGATTCAACTAACGTAAAAGTAATATTATTGGCCATTGAGTAACTTTTAAGATTTAATTTTTTTAATTAAAACAACCTCTAATTTACTGATATTATTATTGATTTTCAGTAAGTATGTCTTCTTTTGAAAAATACTCTTCAATCAGTAACACCACCAAAGCATCCAAATATATTTTCTATAAAATGACTTTTATCATATCAAACACATATAATAACATTAGATTTTCCCCTAATATCAAATACAAAAATGCTCAGCTTGTCAACTATTGCCAGCAAGCTCCAATATTTATATCACTATATTTTTCTTGCTTTTTTTTTTTTAGATTGATATATATATACAAAGGTCGGTCAATTAGCCATCTGAAAAAAGGTTTTACGTTGAAAAAATCATACTATATTTATCCAGCCGTGCATTGAAGAATTCCTTGCTGCCCAATACCATAAATTTGGTCCTACGAAAGTGACCGTATAATATTTATTAAAAAGAATAAGGGCGTGTTCGATGAGAAGGAAAATGTATCGAAAAATATATTATTTTAAAAATATTTGTATATAATTTAAATAAATATTATGAAATATACATGTGGGATTATGGGTTTGTGGATATGGAGGCTAAGGGAATAAGTCGCGAAAGTGAAGACGAGATGTGTTGGAGCCTACTGAACGATAGAGTAGACATATTAATTAATCATATACAAAATATTAGTTGTGAAATTAATTTTCTCCACTTTTTATTAGAAAAATCATTTTTCTTATAATTAAGAAACTTACTTTTTTTTTTTTAAAGAAATATTTTTCTTAAATGTTAACCAAATGAAGATAAGAAAATTAAAAATTAATTTTCCAAAAAATGTTACTGTGTTTTATCCTAAGTTAGATCGTCGAATTACGTGAACTAACTCATGAAACTTTTTTCAAAAAATGTTATGTTCTCCCTATAATATTCTTCTTCTTATTGTTTTATTACTTCATAAACTCCCTCTGTTTCAATTTACATGACATTTTTCATTCTTCAAGAGTTAAACTATTTAAGTTTAATCCATAATTTACGTATTAAATTTTCAATTTTTTTAAAATGAAAATTTATAAACTATGTGAAAATTATTATTAGTTTCAAATATTTTTAAAATATATAGTCAAAGATAAAATTATTTGAATTTGAAAATCCGAAATACATAAATTAACTTACTTTTTTTTTAAAAAAGAAAATATTTTTCTTAAATGTTAACCAAATGAAGATAAGAAAATTAAAAAATTAATTTTCCGAAAAATGTTACTGTGTTTTATCCTAAGTTAGATCGTCGAATTATGTGAACTAACTCATGAAACTTTTTTCAAAAAATGTTATGTTCTCCCTATAATATTCTTCTTCTTATTGTTTTATTACTCCATAAACTCCATATGTTTCAATTTACATGACATTTTTCATTCTTCAAGAGTTAAACTATTTAAGTTTAATCCATAATTTACGTATTAAATTTTCAATTTTTTTAAAATGAAAATTTATAAACTATGTGAAAATTATTATTAGTTTCAAATATTTTTAAAATATATAGTCAAAGATAAAATTATTTGAATTTGAAAATCCGAAATACATAAATTAACTTACTTTTTTTTTAAAAAAGAAAATATTTTTCTTAAATGTTAACCAAATGAAGATAAGAAAATTAAAAATTAATTTTCCAAAAAATGTTACTGTGTTTTATCCTAAGTTAGATCGTCGAATTATGTGAACTAACTCATGAAACTTTTTTCAAAAAATGTTATGTTCTCCCTATAATATTCTTCTTCTTATTGTTTTATTACTCCATAAACTCCATATGTTTCAATTTACATGACATTTTTCATTCTTCAAGAGTTAAACTATTTAAGTTTAATCCATAATTTACGTATTAAATTTTCAATTTTTTTAAAATGAAAATTTATAAACTATGTGAAAATTATTATTAGTTTCAAATATTTTTAAAATATATAGTCAAAGATAAAATTATTTGAATTTGAAAATCCGAAATACATAAATTAACTTACTTTTTTTTTTAAAAAGAAAATATTTTTCTTAAATGTTAACCAAATGAAGATAAGAAAATTAAAAATTAATTTTCCAAAAAATGTTACTGTGTTTTATCCTAAGTTAGATCGTCGAATTATGTGAACTAACTCATGAAACTTTTTTCAAAAAATGTTATGTTCTCCCTATAATATTCTTCTTCTTATTGTTTTATTACTCCATAAACTCCATATGTTTCAATTTACATGACATTTTTCATTCTTCAAGAGTTAAACTATTTAAGTTTAATCCATAATTTACGTATTAAATTTTCAATTTTTTTAAAATGAAAATTTATAAACTATGTGAAAATTATTATTAAGTTTCAAATACTTTTAAAATGTATAGTCAAAGATAAAATTATTTGAATTTGAAAATCCGAAATACATAAATTAACTTACTTTTTTTTAAAAAAAGAAAATATTTTTCTTAAATGTTAACCAAATGAAGATAAGAAAATTAAAAATTAATTTTCCAAAAAATGTTACTGTGTTTTATCCTAAGTTAGATCATCGAATTATGTGAACTAACTCATGAAACTTTTTCCAAAAAATGTTATGTTCTCCCTATAATATTCTTCTTCTTATTGTTTTATTAGTCCATAAACTCTATTTGTTTCAATTTACATGACATTTTTCATTCTTCAAGAGTTAAACTATTTAAGTTTAATTCATAATTTACGTATTAAATTTTCAAATTTTTTAAAATGAAAATTTATAAACTATGTGAAAATTACTATTAAGTTTCAAATACTTTTAAAATGTATAGTCAAAGATAAAATTATTTGAATTTGAAAATCCGAAATACATAAATTAAAACGGAGGGAATGATATTTTTTTAAATTTAAGATATTATTCCCGCCAAAATTAGATCCACACAATAGCAACCACCAAAGAAACACCTCTCTGGAAAAAAATAAAAAAAGTGACAGAGAAATATCCATTTCTCCCCAAATTTCTCTCAAAATCATTTGCTCCGTTTAATCCTCTCTCAAAGGAGGAAAAAAAGGAAACACCAATGTTTTAGTTCTTTTTCCCAACAATCTTCCTCTTTCTGTTTATATAATTTTTTTTGAAGAATAGTGTTGTATTTTTTACATCATGAGAAAATTGAGCCCTAATTTGGACAAAGAAGATGGATTGGATACAGTTTTGGAGGTTCCTCTTCCAGAAGAAATGTTTAGCAAAACGGATGGCAGCAGTGCAGCAATCAGGTGGAAGAAGATGCTAAATCTAATACGAGCTGATAAATTGCCAAATCGATCGAAGGCGGTTTCTTCTGGAAATAATGATCAATTTATGTTCTTGTTGAAAATTGTTGGATCTGCTCTTATACCTTTTCAGGTTCAATTGGATCATGCAATTAACTTGCCTGTTAGAGATGGTTGCATTGTGAGTTGCTATGTACATCTCTCCTTCCTGTTTTTTGTTTTTGGATAAAATATAATAATAAATTAATAATAACAAATAATAAGCAAAAAAAAAAAAAAAAAAGAACAGCTCAGAAAAATTCTGTGTTCTATCAAGGTTGGGGGCTGGGGGAAGGGGTGAGAGGTGGGAAGCCTATATGTAAATATTAGTGATTTCACATTTCGAACTCGTGACTCATAAGTTACTAGTATGTTGTGTAGTGTTATTCATTCCACATTATTTCGTTGTTGTTATTGCTTTTATTTCCATGTTCCCTTTTTCAAACTTCTGGGTCTATCTGAAACGGTCTCTATCTAAACCATAGGGGTAAGGTCTGGGTATATTGTACTCTTTGCAGACCACACGTGTGGGATCATATTGGGTATATTGTTGTTATTCATCTATAGGTTACGCTGAGACAATTTTATTATTGCTTCAAAGCTCGCCTTCTTTTGGGATATTTGTATTGGACAAAACAATATTTTCTTAAATGGTTAACTGAATTGACAAAGTTTGAATATTCTTGAACTTGATTCGTGAATAAGAATGCTAATGTACTTTTTTTTAAGCAATCAATCAATCACCTCTGCATCATATTTTATCAAACTAATCAGGTCGATTTTATGAATTCGCTCTCTCTATATTTGGCTCTATTCCGAATGTAGTAGCTGTTTTGGTGGGTAAGGGCATGGCTGCATGAAGGCAAAGGGGTTCAATTGGATCTCTTTTGCCGGAAAATTATATTGTGCAAGTATATATTCTAGGATCTATGTCTGATGTTCTATTGAAGTGTGTTATCATCTCATCTAAAAGCTTAAGCGGTTAGAGATAACACATTTTTATTTACTTAATTATATTGTGAACGTGAAAAACAGAAGATAAATGATGTATCAAATATCACAAGATCTTAACTGATAGATTTTGCTTTAACTTCTCAAACAAAAAACATGCTGAAACCCTTCTCTAATGTTGTGGGCATCAGAAAGCTTCTTCTGCAAAATACATAGTACAACAATACCTAGCAGCTAGCGGAGGGCAGGCTGCACTAAATTCAATCAATAGCATGTACGCGGTTGGGCAATTGCAGATGGCAATGTCAGACATACAGCAAAGTGGTAACCAAATGAACTCCAAACGGACATGTGAGGATGGAGGATTCGTTCTTTGGCAAAAGAACCCTGATCTGTGGTTCCTAGAATTTGTCGTATCCGATTGCAAGGTCAGTGCTGGTAGTAATGGTACAGTAGCTTGGAGTCACTCTTCCACCAATTCTAATGCTTCAAAAGGTCCTCCAAGACCACTCAGGAGGTTCTTTCAGGTACGCCTTTCACTTCAGTAGTTCTTGAGTCCTGAGTAACTTGATTTTTACGATTACTTATATGTATCGATAGTATTATTAGATAATAACCATTTTTACTAGGTATCGTGGAGATTTACATGTAAGCTATGTTGCTCGGGTCCTCCATAAGTGCCTCTGCTACCATGTTGGATCTTCCAAAAACATTTTTGGAGTATATGAGCAACAAACATAACCTGTAATAACCATGTGAACTGATTGTGTAAATACCTTTTGGACTGTCGAGGCATAGAACATAAACTCTATTGTAACATACTTCTTATTTTTGAGTTGCAAGTCACCACTCTTTCCTTTGTGTGCTTTATGAAATCATCCAATAACTACATGGTTAAGTATACCAATACTGCTGCCTGCACAAGCTAGAAAGCTTATCAATGTTGATAAAACTCAGATTCCTTTGTTGTCTTATTTATGAACTCGTCTTTGATCAACAGGGACTAGACCCCAGATCAACAGCCAATTTATTTCTGAATGCTGTTTGTATTGGAGAAAAGAAAATTAAGGATGAAGGATGCTTTATGCTAAAACTTGAGACAAGCAAAGACATGCTGAAGGCACAGAGCACAGCCAACACAGAAGTTGTTCATCACACCATATGGGGCTACTTCAGCCAACGCTCGGGAGTTCTCATCCAATTCGAGGACACGAAGCTAGTAAGATTGAAGTCAGCGAAAGACAACAATGACAGTACTTTTTGGGAAACAAGCATGGAATCAACACTTAAAGATTATAGGTACATCGAAGGTATCAACATAGCACATTGCGGAAGAACTGCAGCAACAATTTATAGATATGGAAAGAACTTAGACTATAGAGCAAAAGTTGAGGAAACATGGAAGATTGAAGAAATTGATTTTAACATTAGTGGTTTGTCAATGGACTGTTTTTTGCCTCCTGCTGATGTTATTAACAAGGAAAATGAACAAGAATGGGATTCTAGAGCCTCTTTAGCTGAAAATAGAACTGTATGATGCCTAATGTGAAAATGTTCTTGTATATAAGATAGATAGGCTCTTAGCTCTTGTTCTTGTTTCCTAAATATTGGATATTTTGATCGCGAAGGAATTCTTTCGTCTCAAAATCCAAGTAATATCCATTACTCAAAGTAGTTCTTTCGATCATTCACCGAAAGAAAATACTTGATTTTGAATTTGACCAATTGAGAAATACTCAATGACATAGTGCACAAATGAGTTGATTGACATTCTTGTTCTTTTTTTTTTCTTTTCTGACCTTCTTCTTATTAGTATTTATGAAACAAGTCTGAAACCTAGCTTTCCATATATATGGTGAACAATTCATATCCAAGATTCAAAGTTAATAAATAGTGAAAGTTCTCAAACTTGGGTTCGATGAATTTAATTATATCAGTTAACTATGATATGCATATGGAGGGACTTCACATTTTATAGGGCCATAAAACAATGGTGATAGGCTTTCTATGGAAACTTAATACATACAATGTAATCTGGTCAATAATTATAACATGGAAAGTGATATTTGGACATACATTTAACTTTTATGTGTGGCAATACATTTTAAAAATGTAATTTTTGACCCTCGAGTTTTGATCTGTTATATGTGTTTTATAAGATACATGTACCTGATGAAACTAATAGTTAAATATTTACTATTTCTCGAGAGAACAACGATTAAATTAATTTGATTTTAATTTATAACCTATCCAAACCGATTCATTAATATTCTAGTTATAACAAAAAACAATATTGGGGTGTTTCGGTAAAAAAAAAAAATACTCAAGGATTCACATGTATTTTCTATAAAATCCAGGGGCAAAAGTGGAAATTCACTAGTTTTCTCTGCCAAGCGCCGCATACTCCAAACCCTAGCACAGTCTAAACCCCTATTTAAACAACAATTTCTCCAGTAATTCTTCAATCAATTCGCTTCCCTTCATCAATCGGTTCTGCTAAAAATAGTTTATTCATACAATTTTCATGTTTATTTGCTTAATTTGTTTGTTTTTTTAGTGTTTATTGCATCAAATTTACCCTCTTCTTGTACTAATTATGTGAACAAGGAGATAAAGCTGGTGCATAAACTGATACGGTTGGCTTACCAGCTCATTGCATTCATATTCTTATTGCCTTTGTGCCAAATGGTCCTACCGAAATCCTCATCTTTTTTTTTTCATAATTCATACTTTTGCAGATGATGATTTACTGTAAATACTGAATAATCATGTCGATTATATACTCCGCTTATTATCTGATGCTATTTTGTTTCTTTGATTCAGATCTTGTTGTCAATCTTTTTCGATTTTTTCATCGTTTGGCAAATGACGATTCACTGTAAATACTGAATAATCATGTCGATTATCAACTCCGCTTATTATCTGATGCCTTTTTTGTTTTTAGTTTCAGATCTACTGAATTTAAATTGTTTTTAAAGGTTTTTTGGGAGGCAAGTGATGTTTAAACAAAATCTTACTACTACACACTGAAATTTAATGAAGAAAATTAACTCTCAATTAATTTTCTGATGCCTCCTAATTATTATTTAGTAGTTTAATCTGTTTGATAAAAATTAATTTGTTTGCTTAATGATGAGATACAAGCAGACGGGCGGTCTGAACTGATGCCATGTTGATTGTCTGCACAACTTCCTTTAATGGAATTTCTCTGAAAGTTAATAGTTACTGTTAATTACAAATTAATTAGGTTTGTTTATGTAATTTTGTAGTTTTAATCTGGCTGCAGTGATGATGTTGCTTAAATTATGTCTGGACTTATGATAATCCATGATTAGTTAATTGCAAATTTCTGAGCAGCACTATTTCTAAGCATTAATTAAATGTCTGGATCCTGTATTATCATTGATAATTTGTGTTTTAACATTTTGAATGACATTTTAATTGTTGATATGTGAATGTATATTATATATTCCAGAGTATCTAATTAAGAAAAAAAACTTGGGTTATCTGCAAGCAATAGTAAAATTGTGTTCATTCAAATTTCTATTAATAGATAAATTTATATTAATTCTAATCTCTGTAGTAATTTTATTTGAGACCATATTTGTATTTCTAAATCTCTGTATTGTAGTGCTATTGAATCAAATCATTTACTTTCTTAAAAAAGGACATACAATTAAATATCAATATTTCAAATGAGGATTTTGAGAGACGAAATACGAAAAAAATGATATAGGATTGGTTGCGTGGTTTTGTCAAGGAGTTGCTTCTAAAGACTCTCTTTTTTTCTCCAAATATAAAATAATGTTTTTTTTATAAAAAAAATGGTGATTTTATTTAATGGTGAAAGAGGAAGAAATGGGAAGAAAGTGGGCTAATTTGGGTTCGATTTGCTATATTAGCCCAATGGTTTACTACTTCATTCTCTTTCACCATTTTTATATTTGGACATCATTATCGTTATATTCGGAGTTTGGGAGGGAGACTTTGGAAGCAATTTCTTGAGAATTTTTCGTTCTTTGGCTTTTGGGGAATTTTTTTTTTCAATGTAAGATCTTTTACATTATGTTTGGATCATTGTTATCGGTATTGTATTGTATCGTTACTATACCTATTGTATTGTATCGTTACTATACCTATAATGTTTGTTTCGATTGTTACTTAAAATGTATTATACTCTATTGTTAAATTTTGTTATGTAACAATGAAAACTCTTATTTTATGGAATATTGTTACTTAATTTCCTTTTCCAATTATATCTTTATATAGTATTTCAAAATATAATTTACCCTTTATTAATTATTTAAAAAATCTAGTCAAATCTATTATCCTAGAATAATAAAGGATATTTTAGTAAATTTATAAATTACAATACAGTATGATACGATCAAATCAAACAATTAAAATGTTATTAAACAACAACAAACAATACAGTCTACCCAAACATTATATCTACCATACAATAGAGTACAATACAATAAACAATGGGTAAAAATGATTCAAACAAAGTGTTAATGTGATCTGAATTTAATTTGGTTTTAATATAAATATTGGTGATCGGATAGAAAAATCAAAAATGCAAACATATAAATTTTTAAACAAATAATATAATGATTTCACTTTGATAGTATAACGTTTATTTAACTATATTTCATTAATGATTTCATTTTTATTTGTATTATTCATTATATAATATTTGCTAGCAATTTTATTATTTAAAAAATTACGGTATAAAATAATTTTATATTAAACGATTATAAAAGGAAATAATATGAATTATATATGATGATTGTTTTAGAAAAAATTTGTTTCATGAAATAAAATAATATAAATGAAAGAAGAAATAATAATATAATAATTATGATGAAAAAAATATAATTTTTTATATAAAATTTGATGCATTGAGTTGGAGTTGATTGTATCAAATTTAATATTAACGCTATATTTGATATAAAATTTAGTATTTGAATAGAAGATGCCCTTTTGACTAATTAAATCAATTGGGTTAATATAAATATTGGACATTTGTATATTCAAAAGATTCAATGATAGTTTGATTCTTTATATTAAAAAATGATACATATTTATATCATCTTAAAATGTTCATAAAGTTTTGACAAACCAAATGTGAAAAAAAGACCATTTTCCATGCAACTTGATCAAAGCAAAAAGGCTGCTAACTCTAGTTGGCATGTTTTGTATTTGTATTTTGTAGCATTTTCCAAAATGGATTGTTTTCATCAATATATATTGTCAAAAACCTACTAATCTAATATAAAGATAGGCTTCTCTAAAAAGTAAAAATAAAATTTTCTATTAAGAAATCTTCAACTTTCAAATCCTAGTGGTAAGTGGTTTGAAAACTCTTAGACTTACTTTCATGTTTAAAATTCAGCGCGGACAAAAATGCTAGCTAATCTTTTAATTTAGTTTTAATAGATAAAATTATCTGATATTTGTTATTGGGGTTAGATGATAAATATTTCATAAAATTAATTAAAGTGAACTAAAGCGAATAAAATACCACCATCACTTAAAATAGAACAAAAAAAATTAATAGAAACTACATTCACTTTACTTTTTATGACGAGAGAGAATTGCTCGGATAGTAAACATCTCTCACTTCCAACTAGAAAAATTAATTAACGAATCAATTAACTACATTAAAATAAAGATCCTTCCTTCTAAAACTCATACTATACGTATGAATTATTAAATTCTCTTCGTATATATTTTTTAAAATAACAACAATATAAATATGTGAATATTATTGTAAGTTAAAAATTCAGGTCATCCTAGATAACATTTTAAAAATAATGACATGAATGGTTAAATTCTCTTAATATATATTTTAAAAAAAATTACAATTATATAAATATGTGAATATTATTTTAAAAGCTACAAATTTAAATAGTCCTCGATAGTAACATTCTAATTTTAGAGTGTAATAAATTCCTAATTTCGTCAACACGTTAAACGGTTCCTAAAGGATGAATGTTAGGTGACCCACCAAAGAGTTTGAAAGCACACACAAAGACATTGACAACATAAAAAGTCAATTAAATTCAATAAACCCCACATGCCATGTTTTATTATGTATTAAAAAATTATGGATCGTGACAAATATTTATATTGTTTAAGATGTATGATTATAATTTTTAAAATTTATGAAATATAGTTATATTTTAGATTTTATATAATAAATGTACTATACACATGCGTATGGATACAAATTACAATATACATTAATATAGCCTTTTTAAGTGTTTTTAGTTGATATAATATGCATTTGATATTGTCCGTATATAATACGTGATAATATAGTTAATATATTCTCTTGTTTAAATTTATTTGTCATATTACATTTTTGAAAGTTAATTTAAATAATTTCCAAAGTTAATTTATATTATATTAATTTGAAATTTTAAACATAAAATTTGGACATCTAAAAACTAAATGAAAAGTATTATAAATTGTATTTTTTTGTATATTAATATGACGAAAAATACATTTTAAAGTGTTAGTCATAGTTTTTATAATTTACTCAAAAAACAGAAACCATGACAATTAAAAGTGAACAGATGGCGTATTGATATTCATCGCCTTAATACTACCTCCGTTCACTTTTATTTGACATATTGCGCTTTTTCGAAGATCAGTTTGACTAACTTTCAAAGTTATATTGGATTACATTAATTCAATATTTTGAACAAAGAATTTAGAAATTCAAAAAGTATATGAAAAATATTATAAATTTCAATTCTTTAC